CTTTCTGAAGGCGTCCAGGTCGAACGCGCGAACATACTCGATGAATCCGTCCGTCGGTCTCACCATGAAGTCGCCCACGTAGTGCTCGAGGTAGCCGTCCGGCCAGCAGGCACCCTCGCCGCTGTGGGCGTCATGGAACTCGGCGCTGCCGACCATCACGCCCTCGGCCATGCGGGACCACGACAGGCCGCGGTAGCGCACTACGGTGACAAAAGGCGCCTCTCGGGCGCGGCCCGGCCCGCCCCTTCCATCACGAGCCCCTTCTGCCCTTCTGTGACGAGCCCCCCTCGCCCTTCCCTGAGATCCGACGTTGCCAGAAAAATGCAACATCGCAAACAAAAACACACACACACACACACAAGCCCGGAGCCCCAGACCCCATCTTTCTGCGCCATTTCTCGAGCCCGATCCTTCTGTGAGGGCCCCGGGGCCCGAACTTGAGGCCAAACGCCGGCCGCGAAAAGCTTGCCGCGCCAGGACCTCAGGGCTCGTGGCCTGCATCCAGCAGCCGGCCAACACCCTGGAGCGAGGCGTGGGGGGGGGGGCTCGTCACGGCAGGGGTTCCGTGTGGCAGCGCTCCGCCGGGCCGCCCCCCCCGCCCCGAGCCTCCTGCAGGCCGCACGCAGCCAGGGCCGCCGCAGTCCGGGGACCCCCAGCGGCGTCAGCTTCCTGTCCGGCGGCCGCCCGAGAGCCAGACCCCGTCGGGCAATGAAGAAATCATGACGTGAGGGTGTTTTTTGCTGTTTCCGGCCTCTGGGGGCCCGTACCGGCCCTCGAGACCGTCAAACAACGGCTCAGGATGAAAAGCCGGCCTCTGGGGGCCCTTACTGGCCCTCGAGACTGTCAAACAACGGCTCAGGATGAAAAACGGATCGACGCAATGAGGAAATCATGGCGTCGGGGGTCTGGGGACGGGGCAGGGCAGGGTGAGCGGGTGCTGGGCCTTGTCATGGGACGCACAGAGACCTCCTTGGAGGCGCGCGTCCGACCTGAACATGTAGTGGACCCATCTTACAGCGCACCGTTTCCCGAGCGGCGTGGCCGGAAAACGCCCGCAACGACGCATGTATACCGTAAGATTTCCCGGTGCCCACGTCGCCCCTGGGAGGGGGGGGGGCGACGCACACATCGGAGGTTGGGGGGTGAGATCGAAGTGGAACGGAGAGCCCCCCTACCGGGAAATCGATTTCGGTTTTGTGTTCGTGCGTGCCGTGCGGGCGAGGCGAAGCTGCGTGGGCGGGCGAGAGGAAAGTCTCCTGTGGCTGAGGCGCGGCCAGACCAGATGATTCTCCGCCGGGCTGCCGGTGGCGCGCGGTGTCCCGCTGGTGTCCCGCCGGTGTCCCGTCGGTGTCCCGTCGGTGTCCCGATGATGATGTTGATGATGATTATGATGATGATTATGATGATGATGGTAACGATGATGATGAGATGATGTTGATGATGGCGAGGATGATGATGTTGATGTTGATGATGATGGTGATGAAGATGATGATGATGATGATGATGATGATGGTGATGACGTCGATAATGATATCGATTGTGAGATCGGTAGTGAGACCGAATGAGACAGCGAATGAGGTCTTCTCTCAGGTTCTCCTCCACCACGCACAGTGTTGCGCCGCTTCTGGGGCTTTGCTGTAGTGCTATTAGGGGGCACGGGCTTTGCTGCAGTGCACGGGCTTTGCCAGCGCACGGGCTTTCCCAGCGCACGGGCTTTGCTGTAGTGCTATTAGGGGGACACGGTGTATGCCAGGCTTTGCCAGCGCTTCGGTATTCTCTGACTGCATGAGGCACGCTTTCGCTGGGCTTCCAGCCGTTTGCGCTGTTTGAGCAAGGGAAAAAGAGCTATGATGGCGGTACATCGGTCTCGACCGCCGAAGGGCAGCCGTTGAGCAATATTTTGAAGCGATTTAGTCAGTGGCGACAAGAGGGGTTTCAGCAGGCCTCCGACAAAATTATCCCAGAACGACCCTACCTAGGAGTTGGAGCCCCTAGGAAAGCAGCATCTATAGTAAGAGTAAAGCTAAGCTAAAGCTATGCTAAAGCTAAGCTAGAGCTAAGCTAAAGCTAAGCTAAAGCTAAGCTAAGGCTTAGCTAAAGCTTAGCTAAAGCTTAGCTAAAGCTTCCCTAAAGCAAAGCTAAAGTTAAGCTAGAGCTAAGCTAGAGCTAAGCTAAAGCTAAGCTCAAACTAAGCTAAAGCTAAGCTAGAGCTAAGCTAGAGCTGAGCTAGAGCTGATCTAAAGCTAAGCTAAAGCTAAGCTAAAGCTAAAGCTAAGCTGAAGCTCAGCTAAAGGTAAGCTGAAGCTAAGATAAAGTTGAGCTAAAGCTAGACTAAAGCTCAGCTAAAGCTAAGCTAAAGCTAAGCTAAAGCTAAGCTAAAGCTTAGCTAAAGCTTAGCTAAAGCTAAAGCTGAGCTAAAGTTAAGCTAAAGCTAAGCTAAAGCTTAGCTAAAGCTTAGCTAAAGCTAAGCTGAAGCTCAGCTAAAGCTAAGCTAGAGCTAAGCTAAAGCTAAAGCTAAAGCTGAAGCTCCCAGGGGACTGGGGGAACCGCGGGGCGGGGACTGGGGGAACCGCCCGGGGCGCTTTCCACTGCCCGGCCCCTTTAAGCTAGAGAGTAAGAACCCTTCTAGGCAGAGCCTAGGTAGGGAAAAATCTCCACTAGCATCGTCAGGAGAACAATCACCACTGTTGCCCATTGCTCGGCCCCTCCACCCCCCCCAACCTCCTTATCACCCGTAGGGTGGTCGTATAGGTAGCAGCAGCACGTTGGGGTGAGGCCGATTGTCAGAAGCCCAGCCCTCCCCCCTGCCTCTGAGAAGGCGTGGGACGCATGGTTCCCAGACCCCCGACGTCGCGCTTTTCGTCACAACGTCGACCCCCAGAGGTATGGACTCCTGCCCCGGGACCGGCTGTTCATCCTGCGCCGCTCTTCGACGGCCCCAGGGCCCGGCCGAAAGATGGCGAGAGGAAGCCCGCCGCAATGTTTTTCAACACGCGAAGGGGGGCCTGGGTCTTTGGAGGTGATCGACTGCAAAACTGATGCACCCCAGGAGTGATCCTGTCGTCGAGGCATACGCAATTTGCGCAAGTCTACGAACAGCCTGCGCACTTCCCTTAAGCCGGGCCTGTCCCCCTACAGGCCGATTTCGGCCGAAGAGTTAAAAATACCCAAATACCCCTCAAATATATCTTTTACTACTAATAATAATAATAATACGAATCATTTTACTAATATATATATATATATATAATACGCATACATATATATATATATATAGGACAGGCCCGATTTAACACTTCTCATACGAACAGACAGATTATGGGGTGAACCAGTTCTGTAGTCGATCCCCTGCTCGGATTTTTCTCAAGGGGCCCTGGGACACACAAATGAATACACACAAATCCCAGGACTCCCCCTATTTCCCAACCATCCTGTGGTGTTGGGTCCTCGTTTTGAAGAGACGGTGCCCCGCGTTCCTCTCCTCTTCTCTCCTCTCCTCTCCTCTCCGCTCCTCCTCTCCTCCCCTCCTCTCCTCCTCTCCTCTTCACCCACCCAGTACACCGTTTCGTGGCTCCATAGGGAGCTCCACCGAAGGCCCCAGTGCCCGCGCCCGCATGCGTCACCCACACCCATTTCGGCACACCCCTCACACGTTTCGTGGCTCCATAGGGAGCTCCACCGAAGGCCCCAGTGCCCGCGCCCGCATGCGTCACCCACACCCATTTCGGCACACCCCTCACACGTTTCGTGGCTCCATAGGGAGCTCCACCGAAGGCCCCAGTGCCCGCGCCCGCATGCGTCACCCACACCCACATCCATTCCACGGCCCCACACCCCGCACACCCCTCACACGTTTCGTGGCTCCATAGGGAGCTCCACCGAAGGCCCCAGTGCCCGCGCCCGCATGCGTCACCCACACCCATTTCGGCACACCCCTCACACGTTTCGTGGCTCCATAGGGAGCTCCACCGAAGGCCCCAGTGCCCGCGCCCGCATGCGCCACCCACACCCATTTCGGCACACCCCTCACACGTTTCGTGGCTCCATAGGGAGCTCCACCGAAGGCCCCAGTGCCCGCGCCCGCATGCGTCACCCACACCCATTTCGGCACACCCCTCACACGTTTCGTGGCTCCATAGGGAGCTCCACCGAAGGCCCCAGTGCCCGCGCCCGCATGCGTCACCCACACCCAATTCGGCACACCCCTCACACGTTTCGTGGCCCCATAGGAGCTCCGCCGAAGGCCCCAGTGCTGCCGCCTGCATGCGTCACCCACACACAATTCGGCACACCCCTCACACGTTTCGTGGCCCCATAGTAGAAGCTCCGCCGAAGGCCCCAGTGCTGCCGCCCGCATGCGTCAGCCACACCCATTTCGGCACACCCCTCACACGTTTCGTGGCTCCATAGGGAGCTCCACCGAAGGCCCCAGTGCGCGCGCATGCGTCACCCACACCCATTTCGGCACACCCCTCACACGTTTCGTGGCTCCATAGGGAGCTCCACCGAAGGCCCCAGTGCCCGCGCCCGCATGCGTCACCCACACCCATTTCGGCACACCCCTCACACGTTTCGTGGCTCCATAGGGAGCTCCACCGAAGGCCCCAGTGCCCGCGCCCGCATGCGTCAGCCACACCCATTTCGGCACACCCCTCACACGTTTCGTGGCTCCATAGGGAGCTCCACCGAAGGCCCCAGTGCCCGCGCCCGCATGCGTCAGCCACACCCATTTCGGCACGCCCCTCACGCGTTCCGTGGCCCCATAGGGAGCTCCGCCGAAGGTCCCAGTGGGTGTGCCCGCATGCGTCCCGCACACCCATTTCGGCACACCCCTCACACGTTTCGTGGCCCCATAGGGAGCTCCACCGAAGGCCCCAGTGGGTGTGCCCGCATGCGTCCCGCACACCCATTTCGGCACACCCTTGGTACGTTTCGTGGCCCCGTAGGGGGCTCCACCGAGAAGATATTCACAATTGCATATGGTTGGGTCCTTCGCCAGGATAATTTCCTGTATTTTCTAGGTTTTCGTCTTCCCCCCCAGTTGTCCATATGTTCCCATGTCTTCCTGGGAGTCGACGATGAATTGTGGCCGTCTGCTTTTTCCCCTCCTGCTTTTCTGCGACACCTCGAGCACCCGCAGGCGCGGATCCCCCGGGGTCGACGTCGGGCCCCACTCCCCTCGCGCGGGCGGCAGCGCCGGAGGGGCGGCGCCGGAGGCGCCGCCAAGGGGGGGGGCCCAGCGCCAACCCGAGGTTCGAGCACAGTCGGACTTCATTGGGCAGGACACGCGAGAGGACACAATACCCTTCCGAGGGCCTCATCGCCATGGGAGTGTAAGAAGGCACGTGTCGCGAGGCACAGGGCACAAGGGTACCCTCGAGCTGGCAGGGTCGACCTACTAATCCGGGCCGACTGTAGGGGATCGACCACAGAACCGGTCTATCCAAAAATTGGTTGTCTCGCCTGGCGACGTCCCCAATCCTTGCGCAATGCGGGGCGTAAGTACATCAGGATTGCTACAACGGGGGCGATGACGTAACATGGACGCATGTGATTTTGCGAGCAGCAATCGGAAGGCTCGCAGGCCCCCGATCAAGATCTAAGGGCTACGCAATAACAAATCACGCCCGTTGGCAGTGCCATGCGCCCGTTGCACCCAGCGTATCCCGCAGCAGCTCTTGAGAGCCCCCGCGGGATACGTGCAGGCGCAACGTTATGGCCATCGCCTGGCAGATGGTCTGTTTCACAAATCACCCCAGATGGCTGTGCCGTGCGCCCGTTGCGCCTAACGTATCCCGCAGCAGCTCTCCAGAGCCCACCCAGGGACGGCGAGGTCCCGCTCAGATCCCCACGGAGCCTCACTCCGCAGGACCCACCAGCAGCCCTCGAAAGTGGCGACAATGTCGCAGATCGCAGCCCCCCAGGGACGGCGAGGTCCCGCTCAGATCCCCGCGGGCAGGACCCACCAGCAGCCCTCGAAAGCGGCGATAGTGTCGAAGATCGCAGCCCCCAAGGGACGGCGAGGTCCCGCTCAGATCCCCGCAGTGCCTCACTCCGCAGGACCCACCAGCAGCCCTCGAAAGCGGCGACAGTGTCGCAAATCGCAGCGGCGAGGTCCCGCTCAGATCCCCGCGGCGCCTCACTCCGCAGGACCCACCAGCAGTCCTCGAAAGTGGCGACAGTGTCGCAAATCGCAGTCCCCCAGGGACGGCGAGGTCCCGCTCAGATCCCCGCGGTGCCTCACTCCGCAGGACCCACCAGCAGTCCTCGAAAGTGGCGACAATGTCGCAGATCGCAGCCCCCCAGAGACGGCGAGGTCCCGCTCAGATCCCAGCGGTGCCTCACTCCGCAGGACCCACCAGCAGCCCTCGAAAGTGGCGACAATGTCGCAGATCGCAGCCCCCCAGGGACGGCGAGGTCCCGCTCAGATCCCCGCGGTGCCTCACTCCGCAGGACCCACCAGCAGCCCCCGAAAGTAGCGGCAATGTCGCAAATCGCAGCCCCCCAGGGACGGCGAGGTCCCGCTCAGATCCCCGCGGTGCCTCAAGCCGCAGGACCCATCAGCAGCCTTCGAAAGTGGCGACAATGTCGCAGATCGCAGCCCCACAGGGACGGCGAGGTCCCGCTCAGATCCGCTTAGATTCCCGCGGTGCCCCACTCCGCAGGACCTGGGGCTATCCCAACCAATCGTTTCACATCCTTCGGGGGATTTCCAAAACCAAGCTTTTCGGCTTATCATACACATTGGATCTCACCATACCCAGGTGGCCTCCCGCATGAACACAAGGACGGGCGCCCAAGTCTATAGGCGTGTGTTGGGCACGCTGTACTTAGACATGCAGTTTTCTCGGAGGCCCCACAACAGTGTTGGTCACGGTTTGGAAGGGCGTACGTTGCGTATGCCGCCAGTTGTAGCCAGTGAAACGTATGTGACTGACCCCAGCGGTGCTCGGATAGCATACGTTGGCAGCCGACACTGGTTCGGCATTGCGTTATTTCCGTCGGCCCTTAACATGCGTGTATTGCAGTTTGTCGGCGTGGCAACGTGCATCATAGCACGTCGTTGCTCGGTCATGTGCCTCTTATCCCCAGCCAGGGTTAGGGCATCGGCTTCTCCTCGGGTTTTGTGTTCGAGCGTTGTGCGTTGGGTATGCGTTGGCTTTCGGCCGCATGCCCCAAGCTTAGTTAGAGGTTAAATGCGTATTGATGTGAGCCGAGTGGCCTTGAACCAAAATGGCTTGAGCCAAAAGAGCAACGGATGGGGAGGAGGAGAAGGAGGAGGAGGAGGAGGCAGGGGAAGGAGGATGGAAAGGAGGCTAAACAAAGGGAAAAAGGGAGGAGGACGTGGAGGAGGACGAGAGAGAGGGGGAGAGAGAGGGGGGCAGTTGGAAAAAGGTAGGAGTTGGTGAGAGGGAGGAAGAGGAGGAAAGGAGGAGGGGAGGGAGGAAGAGCCAGGAGAAGCCAAGAGGAAGAGGTGGATGTGTCTCGCTCTACCCCTGCAGACGCGTGCACAGCCACCGCATGCAGTCGACCGACTGCACCGACTGCGAAGTCTGCCCCACCGAGCTCGCTTGCCTCTAGGCCTCACCTCTCGGCAAAGCCAGGCGTGGTGTCCACCTTCCTCTTCTTCTCCTTGGGCGCGTCGTCCCACGCGGTCCTCTCGCGGAAGAGCTCGTCGGTGTCGTCCGTGTTGTCATCGGCCTTATTGACGAGGATTGGCCTTGAGTACTTGTACGTGGTGCCTGCAATCACGATGGGCTCCATTTCAGCATACTTGATTCTGTGAGTCGCGACCTTCTTCTTCAGCGCCTGGCGCTCAGACGCTGCCACCTCCTTCTTTTTCTGAGCCTCCAACAAGCGCTTGGCTGCCGCGATACCAAGGCGTTTCTTCTTGCCTGCCTTGGACTGCGCTGCCGCCCTCTGTTTCTCACGTGCCGAACTTTTCCCTGCAGCCGGCTTCGCCTTAGCCTTCGCCTTCGGACCAGCCGTACGACGCGGTGCGTCAGGTGCCTCTGGTGCTGGCAGCGGCTTGATGTACCACGGCATGCTGCAGTCGGACCGTTGCTGGTTGACGAAGCCATTCGACTCGACGAACATGGCTGGCGAGTCCTTGGTAAGGGCGTGCAAGGGCAAGCACGCAGTCCTAGGTAAAAAAGTCGCAGCTTTCCCATCGATCACGCGCCCAAGGTAGGGGATATTGCACTTGCCTGTCCCGACCTTGGCCAAGGTGAGCTTCTCGTTGCTCGACTCGTCGGCGTTGGCGGCGTTGGCACCACCAGTGAGATGACCATCGGCACGAGGTTGCACTCTGCGGCCCCGTCGGGCAAGTTGCAGTACTCGAGATGCGCCCTTGCCAACTGGGCGCCCAACTCCAATGAAAGAATGCGGAGGAAAACCGAAGGCCACTCGATGTTGTCATCATTGCTCTCGCGCTCCACGACCTTCTCGAACCACGTCTGCAAGGTCGTGTACTGAGCTGCGTTCTTGACGTTGCCATCGCCTGCGACGGTAATCACGGTGGAGTCCTCAGCCGTATTCGACACCTTTGGTTGGATCCGCGAGTAGGCGACAGCAACTATGCCACTCTCGATGCTCATAGCCTCCTCGAATTCGGGGTTCTTTTTAAGGATCTCGGATATGGCAACCTTGACCATGCTCGCTTTATCTGATGGGTACAAGTCGATCGTGACAGGATGTATCTTCGGCATGCCCTGCGCGTTCTGATCGACCCCCAAGTCTTTCAGCGCCTTTGTTGTAGGAGGGAGAACAATGTGGAGGAGGGGGAAGGAGGAGGAGGAGGAGCGGGGAGGGGGAGGGAGGAGGACTCCTCACTCCTCCAAGGAGGGGGAGGACGAGGAGGGGGAGAGGGAGGAGGGAGGAGAGGTGGAGACGGATGCCGCCACCTTCGCAATCTGATTGCCTGGCGTTGCGGCTAAGGTAGTTCGGGTTTTCTCCAAGTCGTTCTTGAACTTGATGCCGTCAGTGGTGAGGGTGATGTTGCTGCACTTCTGGAGCTGGTCTGCAAACTCGCGCATCACTTTGCTCCAGGGATTACCAGTGGCAACCTCCAACTCATAGATGAACGTTGGCAGGTCTTTCCGCGTAGACTCCTTGGACAGGTCGAACTTATCCAACAGCTGCGTGATACCATTCCGCACGAGGTTGGAGAGGTACACCTTGGGCATCGCGTTGCCTCCAGCGCCGCGCATGTAGCTCTGGAGCCCGAGGTTGCTGAGGACGTGGAAGAAGATCTGGGACCGTACGGTGCTCGCCAGGTGAGGCGTCAATTGGATTCCAGCCAGCTTAGCAAATGTACCCGATAGCATGTCATGTCTCTTCGGGGCCTCAGCGGCGATCAAGACCTTCAGGCAGTCTTGCAAGGCAGCCTCGGGCAGCAGCTCGTCGATCTGCTGGAGGATCTTTTCGACCAACGTATTGAACGCGTGGTCAGCGTCACTGAAGTAGCCGCCGTTGTCTTGCGCCGCCGTGAACATCGACAGCATGGACATGTTCATCACATTGCCCACATGTGGTTGCAACGCAAGTGGTTGCTTCCATGGGCTCTCGAAGAACTTCAAGATCGTAGTGGCTCCAATCTCAGTCTCCGCCATGAGCGCGACGAGCTGGTCATTGTTCATGACGTCCGCGTCCTGGTCGGCGACTGCCCCCCCCCCCAACCCAATCAACAGGAAGAGGGTCGGAGCCATGCCCACGTAATTTCGAGCTCCTCTCCACGCTGGTCTTGAACAAGTTGTTGAGCTTCTTCCACCCTTTGACCACGACTGGGGCGGCACCGTGCTTGGCCGACGGGAGAGAGATAGACCCATTCACACACGCGCACATCGCGATCAACTTGAAAGCCTCTAAGGGGGAAAGAAGGAGGAGGAGGAGGAAGAGGAGGATGAGGACTCCTCCTCCTCCTCCTCCTCCTCCTCAGGAGGAGGAGGAGGAGGACGAGGACTTCCCACTACCTCCTGCCCCCGCCCCTTCCCCCTTTCCCCTCTCCTCTTTTTTGTTATTGTGACAGGCGCAGCCTTCAGCTTGTCGGTCTGCTTAGGGGCACCCACCTTCGCGAGCTGCTCCAACTCGCCGTCCACGATCTCGATGAATGCTCGATTGGGCTGCACTGAATCAGGCTGCAGCTCGAGTGGTATCACCGCCTGCTCCTCGGGCTCCGCCTGCAAATCCAAGATTGCTGCGACCCGCGTGCTGGGGGTGCCCCTAGTGGTTGATGGTCTGGGAGTGGCGATGACCAACTCCCTAAGGTTCTTGAGGGGCGCGACCTTCAATGGTGGTAGACCTTGTGGTAACAAGCTGCACGCGCCCCAGCCCTTCGGTTCGGACCCCACGGCGGCCTTCTTGAATAACATCAGCACCAAGTCGATTGCCCTGTCGATGTAGGTCGTCTTCTTAAAGGCTTTGAAAATGTCATTGGCTAACACGCCGATCTTCTCGTGCGAGGCGTCGCGCAGGACGGACAGATCTGCCTGGTCAGGACGGGCCTCCTGTTATCCCCCTCCTCTCCCTCCTCCCCCTCCTCCTCGTCCTCTTCCTGGGCCCCCTCGCCCTCCTCCTCCTCGTCCTCTTCCTCCTCCTCCTCCTCCTCGTCCCTCCTCCTCCTCCTCCCCCCTCCTCTGCCTCCTCCTCCTCCTCCTCCTCCTCGTCCTCCTCCTCCTCCTCCTCCCCCCCCTCCTCTTCCTCCCCCTCCTCCTCCCTCCTCCTCCCTCCTCCTCCTCCTCCCCCTCCCTCCTCCTCCTCCCCTCCCCACTCCTCCTCCTCCTAGGCCTCTTCCAGAATGCGCTTCTGCAAGCGCTGCCAGAAAGTCACATCGGGCTCGGCAATCAGCTTGAATTGGTTGGCGTCCTTGTAAAACGTAGTCATATTCTCGAGCGTGTGGTAAGAGCTCCACTGCTCCATGAAATCGGCTGCAGGTCCACACGCATACTGATTCGCAAAGTTGAGTTTCTTCGAGTCCAGTGCGGCTTGTGATATCCGAGGCGCGCCAGTCACGCGCAACTTGTCTTCGCGGCGCTTGAAAGCCGCTGTGACTTCTGCAGTCATGGCCCAGATCTCGATGATCGTAGTGCGTGTCATCTCCTCATTGAGCATGTTCCCCTTGTGCTTGAGCCACTTGCGCCCCCATATGGGCGTCTGCCTGCGGTAGATCTTGCAACCAGGAAGGCCGAGCTTCAAGGTGTACTGCACGTGCGGATTGGATCTGTTCACGTCCTCCTCGGCTGCAGCCGCGACGCCTTCGCAGATGGTGGCGTAATGGCAGGCGTAGTACTCGTCATCTGCGGCCAGGTCCTCGTTCTGGATTAGATCAGCACCACCACGAGCATCTGTAACAAACCCAATCGTCTGGATGCTCTTCTTGCGTTTAGCTACGGAGGCTTTGTCCCCTCTGCCAGAATTCCAAGGGTCGCGCTTGATCGCAAAGGTGCCCTTGTTCGAGAACCAAGACACCGTCACGCCCTTCATCAAAAGGTAATCTCTGTCGAACCTCTCCGAGAGATCATGGAAAGGCAGGCCCCCGTACTTATCCTCAGAGGCGCACCCAAACGTGCCCATCCCTATCCCTGGAAGGGGGGAGTAATGAGGAATACTGCAGCCGCACCGCAACATCTTAATATAAGATGTTGCCAGGCCGACTTGGATGCTCCACCGAAAAATGCCGATTTGTAACCCCCCCCCTAAGGGCCCTTAGGGGGGGGGGGGGGGGAAAAGCCCACTTCTGCAGACCGCCCCCCCCTCTCCCTTCCCCACCTGGAGCCCCCCCTCCTTCCGGAGGCCGGAGAGAGAGAGGGAGAGAGAGAGAGAGCGAGAGAGAGAGAGAGAGAGAGAGAGAGAGAGAGAGAGAGAGAGAGAGAGAGTGAGAAAGGGGAATGAGAAGGAGGGATGAGAAGGCTCGGGTTTGCTTACACATGATGTATTGGATGTGCGATTCCGCCCTGGGAACTTCCTACCTCGGCCCTATCCCTCTGGTTTTGTTTTATCCCCCCCTTCCCCCCTCCTTCGCGTTGCTATCGAATGCTGGTTGAGACAGAATTTTGGTGCAGATTGCATGCTTCGGGCTCCTGGATCGTGAAGCACCCGTCCTCATCCATGAAGTCCAGCCGCCGATGTGGCTCTGGGTCGGCCGCCATCGCGGGGCCTGGCAGAGGGCGGGGGCAAGGGGCACACGCACGTTCGTGGAGTGAGACGACGCCCACAAATCAGATCAGTCACGCTCAGACTGCGCTCGAAACTGCGACCGATCGACGTGACTTTTGCATCGGCGTAGGAGTTGGGGACCTCTGGATTTCCAAGCCGTTGGAAATTTGGGAGGCTTTTTTCCAAGCTTTAGGGGGCCTGGGGAAAACCGTGGAAAAACAACTGAGATTTTTCCAACGGCTTGGAAATCCAGAGGCTCTGGGCAGGCGCAGGGCGGCAGCAAACCATTGATCAGTCACTGCATGCCACACTGTCTCACGTCAGCGACGGCTTTAATTTTGATTGTTTTGTCAGTCGTGATCAGGGTGAGGCAGGCTACGTGGGTATTTTCTTGGCGTCGCACCGCGCAGTTCGAACGGCAATCCCGCCAATCTGGTGAGCGTGCACTGCTGCGAGGAGGATGAGGAGAAGGAAAAGGACGAGGAAGGCAGGGCGGTTTGTAATGGTTTGTATGTTTTGCTTTTGTTTTGGTTTGTCATGGTCACGCGTTAGCAACATCTGTGATGGTTTGTTTGATGTTGTGTTGTTAGCAAAAATCTGTCATGGTTTGCGTGGTCTGATTTGTTTTGGTCATGCGTTAGCTAAGTGCCTAAAGGAGGAGCATGAGGCGGAGGGAGGGGGGGGGGAAGAGGAGATCACGCCTGCGAGTGCGCACTTGCTACATTCATTTCATGCCGCTGTGGCACACTGGACACACAAACTTGACCGCATTCGCGGGATCTGCGTCCGCGCAATACAAGCGTGCGCAGCTAACGTGCCATGGACTGATGCACTCAACACATGCGTATAGACCGCTCTCATCATGCTTCTCGACTGCTGCCTCATCGGCAGCTGCTGCAGTGCAAACGACGCATGTGGTAGGATATGGCCTAGCACGACCATGGGGGTCAAATTCCAAAGGTCCTGGAGCAAGCTGGATTTGCTCGTACCTCTGTAGGACCAGCAACCAATGAGGCACGTCAAACCTACCTGAACGCAACTTCGATTGAAGGACCAGTACGCCAGTGTCAGCCAGGATGACCTTCGATTTCGGGAAGTGGACCACTGTGTCAACTGGGAAGAAGAAGGGAATGGTGTTGTTGGTGCTATCTATGCGGACTTGACGTCCGCATTGTTTCTCACAGTTCGCCCAGCTTACCCATATAACAGCTGCATCTTCTGTAGCAATTAAAGACACGATCTTGTTCCCAAGGGGCAGGGCGCTGCGCCCCCGAGCTCTCTGGAGAGCGTCTGATACCAAGCCGACGCCGACCTTGCACGCCTCTAGGACAGCATGGTCGATGTCGTGGTTACGCTCCTCGACGGGGACGGGCGGATCGTTGATAACATAACCCCCCACTGGTCCTCCAGCAGGCTCTTCAACGTCCAGCCCAGCGTTGTCCCAGACTCCGTCCGTGTCTTCGGGGTCCCCGATGTTCGACCCATCGCACTCTTCAATATTCTCGCCGTCGTCGTCGCTGCCCGCGTGCTCGAAGCCATCCCGCCGCAACATCTCCCCAAGCTCGTCCACCACCCATCCCGAGCCGTCTGCGTCAGGACCCGCAGCCGCACCCTTCTTGGCCTTCATTGGCTTGGGCTCGGAAGCAGGCTGCACGAACACGGCCTCCTCGCAGGAATACGCTGCCTCGGTGCAAGTGGTTGCCTTCCCGTGCCAGCTCAACGACCCTTTGAATAGTTGTAGGGGTAGCGGCTTGGACTTCCTCTGCGTCCTGCGTCGTTTCGCACCATCCCCTTCCACGCCAGGGTCGCGGGGTACATGCTCGCGGTCCTCCAGGGTAGCATTGATCAAATCAAGCAGCGGCACCGATTGCAATGGAGACCTGAAACGGAAAACCACCGTGCTGCTAGTTTGAACAACTTCGCCAATGACGCCGAAGACAGCAGTCCTGAACGCCCAGCCCATGATGAACGCAGCCTTGCGCTCCCCAGCAAGAGGCGTGAAGGACCAAGCTGTGTTGGCACTGCGGGGCTTAATACCACGGCAAGCTCTTGCGAACCTCGCAGCCAGCGGGGACACGCCAAGATGTTCACACACGCATGGTCGTGGTGGCGGCATCTTCTTCAACTCTGGCGATCGAGAGAGATCCCCGAGAGGAGCAAAGCGAAGTAAATGCTCTTCGTCTTGTAATGCTTTGTTGGCGGCCCCGTGGAAGTCGACGCACTCAATCACAGAGATCGCGTCGCCTTTTTTCAACGCCATCCGCGCCGAAGCGAGATGGATGCGAAGCCCAGGTGCTGGGGGGCACATGTGCTGGAGTACGTTTGCCATTCCTTCTACTTCTTGGGTCTCGAACGGTGTAGCTGCACGAACCAAGATCATGAATTGGTAAAGATTCAGGGGGCACTTCCCTGTCTCCACCACGATATCAAGCTCCTCTGTGAACAATCGCTTCATTTTGATATGCGTGTCACAGTATGGCGTGTACATGCAGCAATCGTCGGTCTCAATCAAATTATCCGCGACTGCTTGTCTCTGTGTACACTCGACGTGGGCTTCCTCCTGGACAAGCCACATGAGCTGGAAAGGGAAACCCGACATCTTCGACATGATGCGAAACTCCCAGCTGCAGATAAGAACCGAAACGAGTGACACAGCAAACCCTCGAGCAGAAAGCCAGACTTCATCTGGGCAGCCCTCGCCGAGAATATCCACCAGCGCCCCAAACCTGCGGCGGCGGGGGAGGATGGGGGGGATGAGGAGGAGGAGGAGTGTTATTTATGTGATATTGTTGTTCTCGTTTTATTGTTGCCGTTGTTTTAACTTACGAGAAGAAGCCGAAGGAGGAGGAGGAGGAGGAAGAGGGACGGGGGTAGGAGGAGGGGGGGGGAATTGAGTGCAGCCTGTCAGGATCTTGCCAGGATTCTTCACCAAGAAGACGGTGGATCTCTGCATGAGTGTCGAACGCTCCTCTTGTCACGAATTCTGATAGAGGAGTCGGCCCCAGATACGTTGACCCCTTCTTCTTGTGAACCTCGACGTGCTGATTGTATTTCCTGATAAACTGCTCGTGGTGTCGGAAGAACCGTGTGATGGGTCGCTTGATGACGTTGGAGATGAGCACTTTGGCTTGAAATGTCCTGGAGCCCGAAGCTGTTGTCGCAGTTTGTCGGTAGTCCTTAGATTTTTGGGCCCATATTGCATCCTCGTCAGCGCCTGGCGCCGCGGTATCCAACCGACCTCGTTTTGAGTCGCTCGGCGGGGTAATTGATTCGAAGCATGCGCCAAGCCCTTTGCGAGCATTCAGAAAAGCAACTTCGGCAGCTGAGCAAGAATTCCAACGGCCCCGTAGACATCGACCAGGCATGACTTGCAGGCTGGCCTTGGTGCCCCCATCAAGGCAAAGTTGATCGGCAGCCTTCCGTAGTTTCTCGGCTGTAGTAGCACTTCTCCACACGTTCACGATCGTCGCTAGCGCACTGAAGTAAGGCTTGTTCCATACACCCCAAGTTTCACAACAATCGCCCCACGTGTGAAAGTCAAGATGTGCCAGAAGCGCTTTGACGATAAGGTGGCAGCCGTGGAAAAAAACAGAAAACGCCCCACACCATGACGTTGTCAGTTTGAGAGGCTGCTTGCACGATCTTTTTTACCATACTTGATTCATCTGGCCCAGCGTCCACTCCGAATGTGTATAATGAAATAGCCCCGCGTTTCTGATCTGCTTCTGACGTTCTAACCTTATCCAACCATGTTGGGCATCCTGTGCTCTTGAGCTCCCTGAGTGCGAACAAATATGCCTCTGCACCAGTTCCTTCTTGCACCGCCTGCAAGTCGCCCGTATTCTGCAGGCGCACCACGTGGCGCTCCCACGTACCAGTAGTTGCCGCGTCTGCAGTGTGCGGCAGATCCTCCAGCATGAAAGATGTGACCATACTCATATGTATTTTTTTCTTGTCAATCGCATCACTGTTTGTTGCATCGCACTTGAGTTGATGCACTTGCAGCTGGAAACGCGAAGCATCGCTGTACACGCACGTTGCTCTACACACCTTCGCAGCTGCAGCGCGGTGCTCGTAGGAAACAACAGCTTTGGGATCTTGTATCGCCCCTCTCTCCTCGTCGCCTGCTGCGATGAGCGCCACCGTCCCTGCCGAAACGTGGGTGAGGCTCCTCCTCAGGGCGAGGCTGTAACCACCGTGTGCTGTAATGTTACGCGCTGGCCTCCAGCATATCTTCGCGCGCTCACTGTCAAACATGGTGAGTAGCTGGAGCTTGTCTTGCCTGAGCGAGTTGCACTTGCCAGCAAGGTAGTCGTTGCTGCTGGTGGCGCGACTCAACGATTTGCGAAGGATATCGTTCTCTGCCTTGGCTGAGGCCACAAGCATCTGCA